CTCGTTAAATCGTCACAAACCTCACTATTTTCACATTAGGAAACTGAAGCACACAGGAGTGACGTGTTCAGGATCACAGAACTGTTCTTGAACTCCAACCCCAGTAATGAAGCACCAAAGTGGCACCAAAGTCCGTGCTCATAACCACGATACATCCTGCCTCACCCTGTACTGTCCTAATTTTAGAGGTGAGAAAATCAAGGATCAGAGAGTTTAAGAAATGAGTTTTAAATTCTAAAACCTTGGCACTTTTCATGACATTGTGCAACTTCTTTACAAGCCAAGGGAGGAGTGAACTGCTGGGATAAGTGTGGTCTTGTGAGATAAAAACAGGAAGTGTCTATTAGATTTGGCAACACTGAGGTCATTTGGGACTTAGAAGGTCAGTTTCAGCAGCTGGATGGGCAGAAGTCAAGGTATAAAGTTTTGAGGGGTGAAAGACAGGCACAGAATTTAGATGACTCAGGTAGTTCTGAGAGAGAAGAGAGGTGGAATTGTAGCTAAAAGGGTGAGATGTAAAAATGTTTATGTTATTTTTATTATGATTGGAAAAATCTGCAAATGTTTGTACCCAGACCAAAAAATCTGAGAATGGTGTAGCAGTGGTGTAGAATCACTTTTCAATCTATTGTGCATTTGGTAAACTTGAATCAGGGTCTCTGATTTGACCACCTCTGGACTTCCAAAGCTGGGAAATTGTGCCTATAACCTGGTGATGTCACCAAAGCACAGGATGCCAATGAGGGCAGAAAAAGATGGCAAGATCATTATCTTGTCTTATTTTAACTGCAGACATAGCTACACACTCATCAACAGTCTCTAAATTTGAGTAGAACGTCACAATTAAACCATTAACCTCACCTGTAATCTAATAAATACAAATGTAAATGGCTATGAGATGCCCTACCCCAGTACCTAAGCATTTTTTTTCTTTTTTGAGACAGAGTCTTGCTCTGTCACCCTGGGTAGAGTGCTATAGCATCACACAGTTAAAAATAAAAAAAGCTTTTATTCTATAGTACGAACATAACTGTGTAAACTGTGAGTTGCTCACTGCAACCTTCAACTCTTGGGCTCCAGTTCTCTTACCTCAGCCTCCTGAGTAGCTGGGCCTATAGGCACCACCACAATTCCTGGCTCATTTTTCTATTTTTAGTAGAGACAGGGTCTTACCTCAGTACCTAAGATTGAAAACTGTTAAAATTCACTGCTCGTGAGAAGACAAATTGGTACAAGTCTTTTGGAAAACCATGGTACATGTTTCTGAAAACATACACATTCTCATATCACTTGCCCCCATAATTACACTTCTGAGAGTTTGGATACAGAAAAAAATTAAAGTGCAAAAATGTTTATCGCAACACTGGAAATGATCTGTGTTCGGAGTAAAGAAGTGTCTAGACAGACAATAGAACACACACTTGATGAAAAATAGCATCGTGGTTTAAAATACCATCTACAAAGACAGTGCAATTTTCAAAACATTATATACACATAGTGTTAAATGAGAAAAACAGAATAAAAATTCTATAGTTTGAACATAACTGAAAAGATGTTCACCAGTAGCAATTATGTTTGCTTGCTTGGTACTTCGGTAATGAGGAAGAAACTAAACATGGAAAGATCTCTCTTGATCTCCACTGATTACTAACGGCTGACATTATTTTGAAGATTTTTTTTTTCTGTTCACTTTTTCCTATCTTGGTAGCACATAAATTATCCACAAAGAAATGTACGTGTCCTACTGAAAATACATCAAATGACATCTCTAGGTAATATACCAGGAAAGCATCTTTGAAATATTTTTCTTATGCTTGATATTTTTTCTGTACAAAAGGAGGCACCTGCATTTGGAAAATATAGATAAATTGTAGCATCAGAGAACTATGAAGAAGCAAAAGAAAAATCTTTTTTAATCCTTCTATTCAGATAATAAGTGTTGGTATTTTACTATAAAGGAAACAGATTTTGACAAGAGGGAATTCTATGTTAATCTTAAACAAGTGCATCTAATTCTGACTTAAAACTCAGGTGTAACATTTTACCCCTCAACAAGGCCCAGTTGTCCATCATAAGCAGCCTAGTGCAGGTTTAAGAACAGCTAGTCAATAGCTGTGGGTCTCAGTGTATGTTGTGAGGTGCAGTGGCAGGGAGAGACTCTGTAGGGAACCTGCTTTCATTGACTTACTGAGAAAGCAGCTTCTGTAGCTGTCATTGTCATTGTTGAGGATGTACTCCACTAGTAGAGCAGAGACATGTTGTAACCAAAATATAACTAGGTTTCCACCAAATGTCTGGACATGATGCCCGAAGCCTTGTTTCTGCTGATCCCCGCTTCCCCTTGGTTATTTGAGGACAGGGGCCATCTACTATTCACTTCCACGTTTCTACCAAAGACCTGAACAATAAACACGTGTTGAAGTCAACTAAAGGCTTTCACTCAAATTCCTCCCCTATAACTTATGAGTCAGCTTCAACCTCATCTTTTATCTAATGAATTTTAAATCTCATTCATTCATCCTCTCTTTTCTTCAAAAATTGACACCCAGCTAACTTTTGGCCTCCTCGACTTTTCTACCTTCGTGTTCCATAAGTAGCTCAAAATTATTACATCCCCACCTGAACACATCTTCATCTCTTCCCAGACCTGCCCTTTCTCGTCTGACCTCTCGCTTCACTGGTGTCACTATCTGTCGAGGTGCCCAAGTGAGACACTAACTATCTTTCTCTTTACTCTCTTCCCTTTATTTCCTTGTGAAATCCTGCTTACTCTCACTCAAAAATGTTTAAAGCTCACCCTCCCATCTCCCTTCCCACAGCTGCTATTGATTTAGACCCTCTTTATATCTTACCAGGATTATTAAGGCCACTTTCTGACTAGTCTCTCTGCCCCCAAACTTCCTGTTTCAAAACATCTTCTGCATGGTCATAACTGTAGGTAGCTAAACTCAGGCATAATTAGATCACGTTGTTCCTTTTTCAAAATATTCAGAGCCTCCCTCATTGCTTTAAGAAGCCAAATTCTTAGACAACTGAGAGGATCTGTCACAATCTGGCCCCAACATCCCTTTCTGATCTCAACTCCTATGAAACTCAGTCCCCTCATCCCAAATAGGCATGGTCTGCTTTAGCCACCTACAGTTTTGCACTCTTTCAAACATAGACAGTATCTTCTTTCTTTTTGCATACGTTGGTTCAGAATCTTCTCTCCCAGTCTCTTCTCAGCAGTGCTTCTTCATCTGAGAGCTCCTAATTTCTGTTCAAAGTTCAGCCAATGTGTCCCCTTCTCTGAGCATGCTTCCTGGGACCTCCACGGCAGAAACAACCACTCCTCTGACCTGGCTCTCACAGTACCCAGTCCATACATCTATTGTAGCATTCACTGGGTCCTTTTTCTGTATGTGTGACCTCAGAGCTTAAGATGGTCCCTTATGACCCTATCAGTGTTTGGGACAAGAGTGAACTCCAGGATAGAGCATGAGGCGTCTAGCTATTGGTGCCATATCCCTCCCCTGTGAAAACAGCCCCAGCCTCTGAGTCTTGGCTACAGGCTCAGCCCACCTCTGTGCTGTGATCCTCAAACTTCACTTTGCCAAAGACGGGTGCTTGTTTCACAGGAAGAGAGCGTCCTTCTTTCCCTGGAAAAGATTGATTGAGTAGTGATTAACGCATTCTCAGTGAATCAGATTTATTCAGAGAGGCCCAGAGATGGGGATTGATCCTGGGAAAAGGAATCTTGTGTGGAGAAAGGCAGACAGTAGACCTCATTTATGTTCTGAGATTTAAATGAGATATGGCAGGAGGACTCATTCGATTTGATTACACCCACACAAGGGCCCATGCTGGGGACGCCAAAGACACGTTAAAAACATTCTCCAAGTTCTTCGCAATGTTTAGGATGCAGCTTAGAGTCCTAAATCACAGAAGTGGGCTGGATTCTTCTCCCATTCCATCCAGGTTTATCCCCCAAAGAGCTTTTCATTTAGTACATAGCGTGTGTTTGGGGCTTCCCTGTCCCTGGATTGGCCTGTAAGTTCTGCAGGGCAGGAACTGTGTTTCTTCAGTCTAGTCACCTCAGAATTTAGCTTCTCGTCTATCTCCTAGTAGATGTTCCGGAAATAGTTGTTTAATGAAATGGTCTGAAACAGTCCATCATACCTCAGGAAACCAATGAGCACGTAGCTAGCACTCAAATATTTATAGACTGAACAAATGAACGTATTCCGGGACTCACGGCACTCAAGGCCCGGGAGGCAGGGAGGAGGCAGGACGGCACGGTCCCTCTGTCCCCTCCACACGGCTCACTGTGGTCTAGGGGCCACCGCGCAGGAGAGGCCAGGCCATGAACCCCAGGTGGATTCGCTAAGGCTTTGTGGGAAAGTGCCAGAACCATCGGTGGGACTTTTAGGTGGAAGGGAACCCAGGGGCCAGGAAGGAGCGGGAGGAAAGGCTGAGAGGAAGGAAATGCCGGGATGATCTGGAGGAGAGAAAAAGCAGACATCTGAAGCCGGGAGAAGGGCAGGGTCTTGGGATGAGGATGGGAGCACCAGCGTCTCGGCAGGGGTGGGGGCTGCGCCCCGGGGCGCTCTCTCCACCGCCAGCCCGCACCCGCGTCCCCCAGGCGGGCGGGGCCCAGCCGGGTGTACTTGAGCGCGGCCCCCAGGGGGATGACTAAGCCTTGGCTGCCGCGGCAGGAGCCGTGAGGCGGGAGGGTGCCAAGTTATGAGACGTTGATAACTCGGCCCCAGGCGTCTGAGGTCGTGCCCGTGGGCCGGGAGGGGAGCGGCCGGGGCCCCGAAGTTGGATAAAACGGGCCGCTCTGCTCCGGGGCCGCTTTCTCCGCGCGGTGCCTGCAGCGCTCCTCACGGGCGGGCGGCAGATTGGGAGGGGCCGGACATCGGGACCCGCGGGAGGACACCTGAGCGGCCTCTGCCCCACGCCAGGTGGACGACTGACCCCCGCGCCAGGCGGACACAGGCAGGGCGCGCAGTCCCTCTTGGGAACAGGCAGGTGCTGGCTAGGGCTAGTGGGGCCGGGACACAGGCAGGCGGTGGAAGGACCGACGACAGCGGCATGGCGGGGGTGGCATGCGAGCCGGTGGCCAGGCCGAGCCTGACGTCCATCTCGTCGGGGGAGCTGCGCAGCCTGTGGACGTGCGACTGCGAGCTGGCCCTGCTGCCGCTGGCGCAGCTGCTGCGCCTGCAGCCCGGCGTCTTCCAGCTGCGTGGCGACCAGCTCCTGGTGCCCGGGCCCGGGGAGCCGGCCGCGCACGGGGGCTTCAACGTCTTCGGCGACGGCCTGGTGCGCCTCGACGGGCAGCTCTACCGCCTCAGCAGCTACATCAAGAGGTGGGTGGCCCCGCCGCAGCCCCCGCCCGCCGTCTGGTCCCCGCAGACGCCTCCACCCTGTCCCTGCCCTTGGGAGCCCAGGCTGTTGCCCAGGACCTCTGCTAGACCTCCTCCTTCGTTCCTGTCTAGATTTTCTCATTGCTAATGTCACTGGAGCCTGCAGGCTCTTCCCCCGGGGCTTGTTCTGCCCTTGGCACTGACATTTTGCAGCAGTCATCGTTTGAAGCCACCCAGAAAGGCATCAGGGCCGGGTGTGATGAGGAGGGCAGGGGGTCTTACCTGGCCCCCTCCCACTCTGGCTCCTTAACTGGGTCAGATGAACTCGAATTGGGGGCACGCCCTTTAGGGGATGTCTGTGACATGGAGAGACTCACACTCTGGCTTCAGAGTTGGGGGAGTCTGTGGGTAGAGGAGGGCGGATGCACCGTTCTGGGCGCTGCTAACCGTCCCGTGAAGAGACCCAGGGGCCAGAATGTGCAAATGTCCAGTTTCCCATCTTTGGCCTACCTTAGTGTTTCAGAATAAATAAATAGACTATGGCTGAGGAGGGAACCAGAGCCTCTGGATGTCCAGCCCTGTGTGGGCTGTGGAGCGGGCAGACAAGTTCTGGAAAAGTAAATGCAGTGCCCTGCTCCCAGAAGCCTGGCACAAATCTTGGGCCAAAACCGAGGCCTTAACTGGATGGGAGCCTCCAGGATGCTTAACTATTGTGGCCAAAGTGCCAGAGGCATCTCTTGGCAGGCACACAAAGACAGCAGGGATGTAGTCCATCCATCGGGAGGCTTTGGTGCCCTGGGGTAGAGGAGGTAGTGCTTCATACCTGATTCTGCCTGGCCTCAGGCCTCCCCAGGTCACCCTAAGGAAGGGCATGAGGGTGTGAAGCCCTCTTTTGTGCTGGGGGAGAGGGGCGGTTGAGTGCCAGGAAGAGGTATGTGCAGTCCAGAGTTCGATTCTAAGCTGAGCAAGGGGCCAGCTATTAAAATATAATGCTTTTGCCACTGGGAAAGATAGCATGCTGTGGGTGGGGTGGAGCCAAGAGGGGAAATCAAGCAAAATGAGATATTTAACATGCCCTCTTCAGAGCTACTGGAAAAAAAGTCCCTTGCTCTTCCAAACAAAGGTAGTGAAGTCTTTGAATGCCTGAAAGAAATATTCCCCAGCAAGAGTTTCTCCCTTTTTTAGTGAGATGAAAATTCCAAACCCTAAGTAGGGAACCATAAGAGGAACTGAGTCAGGAATCAAATTTGCAAAGAATTTAAAAGGAAGATAACTACCAAATTTGAGAACAGAGTATGAAAATTAAAAATGTCCAGAATTAATCAAAGCCCTACATTAGGGTTGTGACAGAATTACATCCTCCAGTCAGCAAATAGTGCTGCAAAATTTAAAATGATTTTGAAGTCTGTTATTAAACTCTTGAACACTTCCTACACAAAAGAAAATTACACAGCAGTGGTTACCTGGCCGTTTAGGGTCTAGAATAAACAGGGACTACAATGACCAGGTGACTGAAACCAGGGTATAAGCACTAATCAACAAATAATAGGCTCTCATTGTATAAACAATCAAGTGAGAGCTTTTATATCACAGGAACCTTAGCAAGGAGCCCCTGGAAATGATTTGGGAGATGGGAGGAGCCTCTTCCTCTGGGAACACAGGGTGGGGAGGTAGCTGTTATATCTGAGGGTGCACTCCTGAAGGATGACCAGGAGGCAATCTAGTTCAAATGGAAAGCCTTCTAGACTTAGGGGGAGGACTGGGTTGCGGGCAGCAGTGAAAGGTTTGCCTTTGAATCAGGAGGTGGAGAACACGTAGAAGCCAGAATTTAGACATCTAAAGTTGCTGCTTCTGTGATGTGCCAAATTTGTCCATTTGTCTTTGGCTCTGGAGATAGCATGCAACATCCGCCCTCAAAATATTGCTTCAAAGCTGTAATCCATCTTTCCTCTTTTCCCTCACTCCCTTCCTTTCTTCTTTCATAAAAAATAACAAACAAAAAAAATGAAAAAACAAAAAAACAAAAACTCTGGTCAGTTTTATTAAAGAAAAGATTGGCATGATTTTCCTTTCACTGGTCTGTTCTGGAATGATTCTAAAGATCTCAGAATCCCTGCACAATGACAGCTGGGGTGCACACCCTTTAGTATTTTCCCCATGCTGTGCCCAATTCAATGTTATTGCCACTGAAGTGGTGGCCCTACTTACTTAGGTTCATTTTCTGATACGTGAGCCTTTTTCTAAATATATACTTACTAAATAAACTAAGAAAACCCAGGGTGGTGGAATGGTTTAGTAATGGCCACCAAGGGCTTAACAGCCTTGGTGTTAGCTGAAGAGCCTACTTGATAAATATTGTTCCTATTTTGTTGGATATATGGAAAAATCTTTATTGTTATTTTTTCTTTCAAGATCAGGATTTCCACCCATATTACAAACCAAACCAGGTATATGTAATGGTCATCCAAGGAGCTATTAACTTAATACTTAAAAGTCCAAATCACCCTTAACTCTCTCTCTCTCTCCCTCTCACACACACACCTTTTCTTCCGATAAAGCAGCCTTTCAGTGAGGCGCAGTGGCAAATGCTTGACAAAGGAGAATCCTCTTTTTTTAGTGGTCTCCTAGCATGAAAAAAGCCACTTGGCTAATAAAAATAAGTACAGCAACAGTAATGGTGGCTACTAATATTTACCTGAGTACTAGGAATGGTGCAAAGTATTTCACAAAAGCTCACAAAAGCCCTTTTTACACATGGAAAAATTTGGACTCAGCTTAAATAATTCACTTCAGTAGGTTGGGTGAGTAGTATTACCAGTAAGTAGTACTGTCAGACTCTAATGCTGATGTTTTCAGCAAATTGCCCAGGACCTGAAATAATTCTGACTTCTTACTCATTTCCTAAATCTACAAATAACTAACTGGAATTACATCAGCCAGTGCACATCTTGTATAACCAGCCACAAAGAAGTGGTGCAGTGGTTTTCAGAAAGCCACTAAAAGCAGATCAATGACCTGCTCTTGCCCATCCTGTTAGATGGGTGACAGTCACACCCACTTCGGGGCAGCCACCTGAGCCAGAGGGTACCAGTGAGGTGGAGCTGGGACTTAGGGGTAAAGAGAGGACAGTGTGGTGGCTGGAACACAGTAGGGGAAACCTCACTTGCCCACAAAGCAGGAAATGCTGGGTTCGGTCTGGTGGGCCAGGGATCCTGGCTGAGGCTGGGAGGCACAGAGGATGTGGTGCTGGGTGTGATAACTTGCCCAGGTCAGCAGCTCCTTAGCAGGACACGTGATGATGATGAAGGCATAGTAAATGGCCATGTATTGAGCTACAATTTTTACAAGACTCAGTCTAGAGGGTGAGTGCCGGTCTCTTTACGAGGTGAGTGACCTTGGGAAATTAATCTCTGTGGGACACCATCTCCTTATCTGTAGAATGGGGGGCAATCATAACAATAATACCATCAACTTTATAAGATTGTTGTTCAGAATTAAAGTTTGTAAAGTCCTTAAAATTGTTATTATTGGCACATTTTGATCGTTTGACAAATGCTAGCTTTTGTATCATAGTTAAATGGTCCCAAAGCCAAGTGTTTTACACATATTATTTAATCTCTTAGCTACCTGTGGGGTACCTTTTGTTAGCCAGATTTTACAGATGAGCTAAATGAATCTCAGCAAAGTTAAAACGCTAGCTGAGGTCACAGAGATAGAAGTCCCTGTTAGATCTGATGATTTGAAAGCCGCATGTCACCTTGCCTTCTTTCCTGACTGCCTTCTTTGGGAACCTTGCTCTGGACTGTGCACCAACCACACTCTAACCTACTCTCTACTCTTAGCTCCCCTGGCCCTGGACAAATGCCTGCCCATCTGCCTGGACACAGCCACCCTGCCACAGTCCCTAAGGCTGGGCTGAGCTGTGTCCTCCTCTGGACACCCCATCTCCTTCCTGCTCTTGCCCATTCTTGGGGGTGTGTTTGCCTGATGGAACAATCTCTCTCCTGCCACATGGCTTTAACTTCAGCCCCCTCCTCCCTTGCTCCCTTTTGTTTAAATGACTGGGACAGAACCCAGTGGATGGAGCTTGGACACATGAATGCAGAGAACTATGCATTTCTCTGGCATTTATATGTTTGAACTATTTGATTTACCAGTTTGAAAGCCTGTGCATGCAGGGACCATATCTCAGATAAGTATTTCTCAAACATTATATAAAACACAAAAGTCTCCTGGAGGTCTTATTAAAACACAGCCTCACTCACTTCTTGAATCTACAAATAAATAATTGGAATTACATCAGCCAGTGCACACCTTATATAATCAGCTGAAAAGGGAAAGAAGTGCAGTGGTTTTAAGATAGCCACTAAAAGCAGAGCTATGACCTGTTCTCACCCATTCTGTTAGATGTGTGACAGTCACACCCATCTTAGTGCAGCTGCCGATTAAATAAGACCAAGGAGAGGTCTGGATTCTGCACTTCCACAAATTCCCAAGTGGTGCCAGTGCTCCTAGTTTAAGGATCACACTTGGAACAACAAGGACAACTTATCTTTGAAATAGTGTATTTTGTTATCTGTCTCCCCAACAGACTCTATGCTTCTTGGATATGCTTCTGTTTCTTATCTCATCTTTGTGTCCCCAGGACCCAGCACAGAGCGAGCTTCATAAATGTTTACTGATACATGTATGAATGAATCATTCTCTGCCCCATTGAGAAGTTTCACACATGCTGTGTCAATATTTGCTTAATGAATGAATGAATGAATACATGTATCCTTGAAAACATGTGTGAGCTGCAGATATGACAATGATGGGTCTAAAAATTCCTCTTAAATTCATTAGAATTAGGGCAGAAGGAGGAGAGGGAGGAGGTAAAAGAGAGGGAATTGTTTGAGAGCACAGGGTGAGCTGTGCGTCAGGTGATAAGGCTAACACTGGCAGCTCACGGCAGGGATGTCCTGCTTGCCCTAAGAGTAAAATGTCCCTGCAAGCTTTTGGTTAATGTCATGGCAAAGGATTATGAAAGCTGCAAGCCATTTCTGGGCTTTCTGCACAGATTGTTGCAGTGTGCCTTCTTCGTTCTCTCTGCTCCACCGCCCATCTATTTTTAGATGATGTGCGCGCGCACACACACACACAACATACACATGCACACACAGGTGGAGGCCATGGGTTTGGATTCTTATTTGTCTTTGAGCAGAAAATTATTAGACCCAAGGGAAATTGGGGGCAGCTTTGAAAGGTGGTTGTCTTAGAGGGGTGTGATCTTTCGGCCACCCCTGATTTGCTAGAAGCAAAGCACTGAGCCCTTCCTAGGTCCTCTCTTTCAGATGTTGCATTCATCGAGCTGTTACCTTTAGTCTTCCAAACTGGGAAAATGAGGAAAGAAATTTGTAGCAAGGAAAAAGAAACTCTTGCTCATTTTTCAGATACTCATTGTCCATATTTCCTGGTAAACCAAATGAACACAGACTTTATTGTATGTCAAAAGCTTACAGAACTTCACCGTGTGGTGGGTCAGCCAAGTTCAGGATTAAAGACACTCATAATGTTTATCAAGTGCCTACTATGGGTCTACATACATATGTCTATATCACCTGTACTGTATCCAGTCTTACCCTTCTACAGATGAGGGAACAGGCTTCGACAGGTTAAGGAACTCACTCTAGGTCAGTGAGCTATGCCTCTGGAACTGAGTTCACATAGCCAGCAAATTAAGACCTGAGTTAGATTTAATTTTGAAACACTGTGCTTACAATTCTATTGTCCTGCCTTTTAATTTTTGGATTAAAGCCAGGCTTAGAAAGTTTCGGCCTAGAACCTTGGGGGTCAGGGTAAGACCGATGAAGAATTGAGAGTTTAAAGGAACTGTCTATCTTAAACTGTTTGCTTTTCATCCCTAATGATAACTTCAGCAAATATAATAAATATTCAGTACACAGAGGCAATATTTACATTAGCAATTCTGAAATATTCATGATTAAAGATCAAATAACTAGTTTCTAATGTAATCTAGGAAGGCACATCTTGAACTAAAATGAGTAACTAAGTGAGTGTCAGATACTTAAATACCTCGCGACTGAACAGTTAGGTTCAGTCTGAACTTTTTGTATTTTAGTCACTTTTGTATCTAAATTTTATAACAGCAAAATTCTAAGGAATGCTCACATTTATTTCTTTCACTCAAATTTCAAATTGTTTAATAATTTGACCATAACTGGGAGGCTGGGGACAGTTGAATTAATGAGATAGTTCCTATTTGTGGTGTGGTTAGAGATAGTTTATCAAGTAGAGATCTTGCCATAATCTCTTGTTCGTAAATTCTGGTATCGGATCTCTCCTATAAGCAGTATTTTCACATCTATGGCACAGTGATAACTGGCATGCTTCGTGATGAGGTTTACAGTTCATTAAGTTCTTACAAGTGCCCCCCACCTCCTGAATCATCAATGGTGGGGATTAAATCATGTTGCACATAGTTTTATTATCCAGAGTGTTTTATTGAATTGAGAATCCCAAAATGGGTAATTCATGTACAGGTTATATATTATAAGCAAAATGTGACTGTCTGGAAGGCTCCCTTCTCTGATCATGCCAAATAACGGCCCTTTGAGCCTTAGGGCACCAGAAAACAGTTCCCACAGGATCCTGGGGAAAACTGATTGTTCTCCCAAGCAGCGATCATTTCTAAGTTGAGATTTGTATCATTTTCCTTTATGCTGTGGGTTCCCTGGAAGAAAATCTAATGGTGTTAAAATTCAACGATGTCTCCCATAGGATGTTAATTGATTTTGGAGGCAGAGGGACATACCACACTGTCGTTTGTGTCATCAGAAAAGACACCAAACCTTCCTAGTGGATATTCTAGGTGCACCACACACAAACACCACAAGCTCGACCCCTGACACTGAGGGAGCACCTTGAGAAACACAGTGAAGGTGACGAAATGACAACTCACCTCCGTGATAAACGGGGAGGTAGGAGAATGTGAGCCCCTGGATCACTGACGGCCCTCACCCAGCCCCAGCATCACCATCTAGTTTTTGATCTTTGTGCCCGGCAGACTAGTTCTTTCTCTCCTCTATTGCTACAGAGTTTTATCCTCCCCTTCTCCTTGCCTATCTCCACGCTTCTTAGCAACCACACACTGGCCTGCCTGGCCCCTTGCCAGATCACTCCTGCCTGCCGGACTGGTGCCAGGTCGCGGGCAGCAGTAGATGGATAGTAAGGTGAGCACAGGGAACCCTGTACTATCCAGGGCCCCCTCCCTAGGCTCGGAGCCCCTCAGGGTAATAAAAACCTGTGAAAGCCAACCAGGTGCCCAGACTAGGGTGGGGTGGGGAGTAGATGGGGGGGTGGGTGAGTTAATGCGTGCTGTTAAGCGAATGAATGAATTAGAATGAACAAGCCCAGCCAAAGGCAGTTCCGTTTTTCCTGCCATCTCCTCGGCTTCTTTTCTCCACTACTTTTCGGCAGTTGGTCAACTGGGACATAGCAGGACAGGAAACACTTTCCCAGCTGATGTGGCGCACACACGAGGGCCGCTTCATTCAACCCTTCCCCAGTTCTGCCAGGGGAGGGTGGGGCAAAGCGGGCGCTCTGCATTCTCTGGTCCATTCCCTTGGTGGCCCTCTGAGCCCGCCCCTCCTCCATTCCCCCTGTCTGCCCTGACCACTGACCCTTGCACCTCTTTTCTTCCCTGGACCCCTCCAGCCCCGTGTTCCACCCCACTCCCACCCCACCACGGGACCAGCCCCCAAGCCCACTGACGGGCAGTGGGGTTGGGAGCGGAGCGGAGACTGCTTTAAAAGCCGGGTGAAAATAGGAGGCAGGAAGCGTTTTAGCATCTCCATCAGGGGTCAGGTTTTAAAAGCTCTCAAAATCAGGTCTGACAATCCTAGCAAAAAGATAATGACAGATTTCTAAGAAACCAAGCTGGGAGACAGCGGGGCGGAAGCTGCGCTTCCCTCCCTGGGGGGTGGATATTCTCCCGCGTGCTCTTAACCAGGGCCAGGGTCACTGCCTTGTGCACGGCCCCTAGGAGCGGGTGCTGGGAAGTGGGCCCAGCTTGCGGGGCGGGGACGCCCGCAGAAGTGTGGCCCCAGCTCCCTGCAGCGGCCTTTTGCTCTCCAGGGCTGTGATTTTCGTGTCAGATATTGAAGGACAACCAGCTGGGAAGAAACACTTGGCGCTGTCATGACTCGATGTAAGAAGGAAACAGGCCGAGGCAGTGCAGCCAAAGGCAGCCGGGGCGGTCAACTCCGCAGGCTGCTCGGAGCCTGCCTCCATTCACGCTGCTTCTGAGCTTGTTTGGTTAGAAAATTAGCCATCTCCCTGATGGAAGCTGATTTGCACTTAGATCTTTTTATCAGCAATGCCAATTGGGGGGTAGAAAGGCAGCTTGGAGGAAGCTTGGTAGGGTGGGGAGAGAAAGATAACTCGTGTGGATGACCCACCCGGTTGAGAGTCAGAAATGTCTTCCTAGGCTGGAATAATGAACCCAAACCAAGGAGGATGAAGTAATAGGTGAGACAGCCAAAAATCTAATATCAGTTGTTTTTGTTTTTTAATGGCACAAACTCAGGATAGGAGAAATGTGAATCTGTAATAGTTCCTATGAATATGGGTTGGTCAGTTCTATGGAGGGGGCTGAATTTATCTTGGGATTAGGGAGGGAAACAGGGAGGAGAAAGAAAGGAAAATTCCAGATCCAGCAGTCAGACAGGATGACTCCACTGGAGAAGACCCAGCTAATTCTATTTGTTGAGTGTAATTCATTGTTGATCCAGAAGAGCTTAGAGCTCTTATAAATTCAAATGAACTCTTACAGCTTCAGACATCCTCAAACTACGGGCCCGCGGGCCACATGCGGCCCACCTAGGACATTTATCCGGCCGGCCAGGTGTTTTTGCTGCTGCTGCCTGTCCTACTTAGCAGCCGACTTATCCTGGGGCCCACAGTCCGGCCCTCCAATGGTCTGAGGGACAGTGAACTGGCCCCCTGTTTAAAAAGTTTAAGGACCCCTGGCTCAGATGATAGACAATACCTGCCCTCAGCTGGTAAAGGCTGCACGTAAGAGCCAAGCACCCATGTCAGGCCACCCTAAGAACCACGTCACCTTAGGACTACATGCTGAGCCCTCAGCCAACCAGCTGTGACCAAGGGAAGGAGATGCATTTATATGGCACAGGTGACCTCCGTAGGGACACACTTTAGGAGACTTCCATCAAGGATCTGTGCCTGTGGCAGGTACCTATTCAGTATATCCCCGTCCTGCCTGAGATAGAAGGGTACCTTACATTTCTCTGCCTCTCTACATTCTCTCTTAATATCTCTGCCTTTTCACAGGTATGTGGAACTGACCAACCACTTTGATTATAAAGACTACAGGGAAACCATACTGAGTAAACCGATGCTGTTCTTTATTAATGTACAGACCAAAAAAGACACCACAAAAGGCGAGTATCTAAATATTTTTGGTTTGATTCTGCCTTGTTGAACTGAGGACTAAAGCACAGCATGAGCCTGCACAGCCAACTTCTAAATGATTCTGGGACAGAAGCTCCTGCCTCCCAGCTTCTCCTCTACTTCCTGTCTAGGCAGGAAGTGAGCTGATATTCTGAGCTTCCAAGGGCAGAAATGACTGGAGTGATGAGGATGATATACCACATGCTCTACCACACACATATTAAACACTTTGTCTGAGGCAAGCACTAATGTAATGAATTGGCACAACAGACCCACAAGGTTTATCATCCAAATTGGGGACTTTTTTGAGCATAAATGTCATCACTGTTAATAATCATTCTGCAATGAAGGTATAAACTGGGACCAACCCAGGCAAACTAGCCTAACTAGGGGGTACGTATATGCTATCCTCATTTTATAGATGGGGAAACTAAAATAAAGACACTAATTAGCTGTCATTAATGCTTTTATATTTCATGCTATAGTGTTAGAATTTCATGGTTAGACACATCTCTTTATTATTTCTTCCAAGAAATCAGATTAACTGGAAGCAACTATATTAACCCAAATTCCAACATGAAAGGGCCTCCATCTTCCCCTCTTCCTTCTGCTGAGAGTGATATGTGAAGAAGGTCATGTGCATACTGTTCCATGACAGAGGTAGAATTTCTAAACTTGCTTCTAGATGACCCTCTTAAAATGAGTCCAAAGTAATAAGAAATGATCTACAAATTTCAAATAGACTTCCTCAAACATTTGCTCTCACCCAGATTTGTGGAGCTCTTTCTGCTCAATTCATGATAAAAAAAAATCCTGATGCTGTCTCCATGGGAGAGGGCAGGAATAGATCACACAGTAACAAGCAATGCTCATTACAGCATCTGAGGCCCGAATGTACTCTGGCTTCACAATGACCAGAAAGCCAGATAGTTCTCTAGGAACGTAATTCACAGCTGCATCATGTATACTTCCTGCATCATCTCTCAGGAGGAAAGAAGAATGAGACCGATCCATCTTAATGTTTTAACAATAGTGCAGAGAGTGGTACAAGGAGGTATTTGTTGGTGACCTACTGAAAATATGCAGTTATATGGCAACTATTGTGGAAGGAGGTACAAAAACCCTTACTGGCTAATTATAGTGAAAGCTGTAAAACAAAGAGGCTGTACAACATAGACCCTGATAAGATGGTCAGTTTGTTTTTGTTTTTTTTTTTGAGACAGACTCTCATTTTGTCACCCTCAGTAGAGTGCCGTGGTGTCATAGCTCACAGTAACATCAAACTCTTGGGCTTAAGCAATTCTCTTGCCTCAGCCTTCCAAGTAGCTGGGACTATAGGCACAACGCCTGGCTATTTTTTAGAGATGGAGTCTTGCTCTTACTCAGGCTGGTTTCGAACATGTGAGCTCAGGCAATCTACCCATCTTGGCCTCCCAAGTGCTGGGATTATAGGTGTGAGCCACTGTGCCTTATCCTAAGATGGTCAATTTTTAATTGAGAGATTGTGATTAAGGTAACATGCCCAGCCCTGCTGGTATTCTAAACTGTACTTTTGTGCAAAAAAGCTACCATTTCCTCAAGGGAATCACTAATAGTTTCCAGAAATTTGCTATAATATATACAAATAGACAATGTCTGCACATGTGAAAGACATCCCATGGAGTTGTACAGTGCACAACCTACACTGTATAGTGGCCCCAATCATTTAATGAACTTAAGGGTCTTGGTTTGGTTTGTTTCAAATTTAATTCAAAGAACTTGCTTGCTTTGTTCATCCCTTGTCCCAAAGAGGATATGAGGTAGTTTATGTCTAAAGTACCCAAAAACTAATCTGGGAAAAAAACATAGGTAGGAAAAATAAAATGAATAAGTTTAGTTTTGAATGATTTCCCCGAGGATGTAAACACTTGTTGGCAGCCCATAGGTTTGGCTCTGAGATATCTGAAAGCCAGTGTAAAACGTTCAGTTTTTCAAATCACGTAATGGCTGTTCCATGGCCTTTCAACAGAGGGAGACACGTAGGTATCTTATATGTCTCCCTAGACCAAGCACTGAGTAATTATGGCCATGGAGCTTGACTCTGGGGGCCCGTGGATAATATTTTATACAGTATTTCATCATAAGTAAACACTTTTCCCTTTGCTTAAATTATGGAGAATTGGACATAAAGTGTTAGCAAACAAAATAAAATAAGAAGAAACAACTGTCTGCTGGGACAGAGATGTGGTATTATTTAAACAATGGGAGGGACATTTTTTCCCACATGGGCTGGTGTTGGGGGTAGACATGGGGAGGAGAATCAACCTCAGCCTTGATGGGGGAACCCTAGACTAGCCATTTGGCAGAAAGAGTGCCAGGTCTCTAGAGAGCCTGGGGGGAAAGGGCACAGGGTGAGGGTGGTGGTGTGGGGTGAAAACGTGGGGCAACATCCTTTCCTGGACCTTGCTGATTTTCTACTTTGCAAATATGGAAGCATCTATAAGGGCCAAATTATTATTTAAATATCATAATATTTAAATGGCAAGGTAGGGACATGAAAACCAGTCATCTAGATCTTTATTTTATTTTATTTTTTGAGATAGAGTCTCACTTTGTCACCCTGGATAGAGTGCTATGGCAAGGAAGGCTATAAATGAATAAAATCTCCAAAGAAGGTGGGAACCACTGCTTTGGCAAAGGCTAAGAAGCATGTTTATGTCTCAGCAACACACTTCTTTCTCAACTCTGCTTGCTAATTTCTAGAAAGGACGTATGCTTTTCTGGTGAACACAAGGCACCCCAAGATAAGAAGACAGATAGAGCAAGGGATGGACATGGTCATCTCCTCAGTGATTGGGGAAAGTTACCGGCTTCAGGTAAGCCTCAGCCTGTCAGAATTCAGGGCTTTAAGCACATAGCAGGGGCCTGTGCATCTCAGCCAGGGCTGAGTCCCTGGGGCCTTAACTGCACCCAGACACTTTGTTCCTGGCTGCAACATTATTGCTACCAATAAATGAGCTTAGTTTTTAGCAACTTATTAGAAATGGGGTCAGAATAAATGTAATTTTGGCCAAGTAATTCAAAACCTTTAGGTGGTTCCTGATGCAAATGCAAAGGTTTGCTTTTAATAAAAAATAAAGACAGTAGTTTAAAAATGTCAGAGTGAAAGGGAAATTAGAAGTGTGATGCTGGGGTGTTTGGGCAATTGTTAATTCTATAGTGTCAACATGATAGCTATGCCCACAAAGTCAATTAAAGGTTTCTCTCTCTTTTTCAGTTTGATTTTCAAGACGCAGTGAAGAATTTTTTCCCTCCAGGAAATGAGGTGGTTAATGGAGAAAATTTGAGCTTTGCGTATGAATTCAAAGCTGACGCATTATTTGATTTCTTCTATTGGTTTGGGCTCAGCAATTCCACCGTAAAAGTACATGGGAAAGTTTTGAATTTGTCAAGTACAAGTCCTGAAAAGAAAGAAACAATTAAGTTATTTCTGGACAAAATGAGTGAACCTTTCATCCGAAGGAGCAGTTTCTCTGATCGAAAATTCAGCGTAACTTCCAGAGGTATGTTAAAAATTCTCAAGAACATTTGGAAGGTAGTTAATTAAAACAGTAGGATAATGTAATGGGAGAGGAGCTGAGTAAGTGAAAGGCAAGACCTAGTGATAAAAGGAAAATATCTGTATGATATCACATAATTGAGAAAATAAGAAGTGAGATGTCTTTACTACCAAAAAGAAGTAGTGGTGTTTCCTTTTAGGCTCTTTTTAAAAATATATTTTTTTGAGACACAGTCTCACCCTGTCACCCCAGGTAAAGTGCCCTGGGCACTCAAACAACCTCAAACTCTTGGCCTCAAGTGATCCTCTTGTCTCAGCCTCTTGAATCTACAGGCATCCACCACAATCCCCAGCTATTCTGTTTTTAGGAGAACTGGAATCTTGCTTTACTCAGGCTGGTCTTAAAATCCCAAGCTCAGGTGATTCACCCACTTTGGCCTCCCAGAGTGCTAGGATTACAGGCGTGAGCCACCGTGCCTGGCTTCCTTCAAGTTTTCTGACGTAGTGGTTATATTGTATAGTACTCCCAGAAAATAACATTAAAGATTACTGTTAAATTAGTGTTAATTCTCATTTAAGTATTATTGGCAATAATTTAAATCTCATAAAAGAATGCTGCTTCCCAAGATGCATATTCTGCACATCAGAATGATAACCAAAATGGTCAGTTGAGGAAGGATTTTCCAGATTTCGTGAGCCCACAAGAATAACTCTTGAGAAGGTTATATTTAGCAAACAATAAATGCCATGGCAGGTTCCTGATGCTGACTCCCAGGAGCAGAGGCAGGTGGCATTGGTCGTTGCTTATCTGGAGGTGTCTTCTGTGCAGCCCCTTCTCCCTGTCTCCTGCTACCCCCCACCCCCTGCTGGACAGCACCTTCCTCGAATCAGGACTCTCACTGCCACATGTGGAGAAGCACCATTCTCTGTGAAGCTACAGTGCTATCTAAGTTCACATGTAAAATACAGCTTTTATTGATTGTATTTAATGACAGTTGCTTTCTTCAATGTTTATAGCAAAAAAGCTTACTCCTAGCAGTTTATAGTTAGGAAGTGGAAGGGTTTCTCTTTTTCCCTCCCTCTTTCCTTCCCTCCTTCTCCCTCTGTCTCTGTGTGTCTTCATCCCTCTCTCTCTTTTCCCTCCTCAGCCCCTCCCTCCTTCCCTCTCTATCTCTCATCTGTCTATGTCTCTTCTCTCTGCCCCCCTTTCCACCTCAGTCTCCACCTGTCTCCCCCTCCCCTCTCCCTCTCTGTCTCCCAGTCAGTCTCTCTCTCCAGGATGCTTCAGCACTCTCTGTCCAGGAGTTTCTCCCAAAGGTGCCTTTGTGCTCTATCCCTTGCAGCCCTGTGTGCGGATCCTTTTGGAGGGAAGATTCACTTGCCCTCTGCAGGCAGTCACAGGTTCTGGGCCCTTCTTCTTCACTCACTGGCTGCAGCAGCCTGGGTGGGGCTCCCTGCTTCCCTGTGGCTTACCATCTTTCATTGGGCTGCCCGTGGTATCCACCATCATCTTAGGGACACTGAGAAACACAAGAATGTGGGCAGTGTACTAGAAGACAGTCCGGGGGCCACTTCATGTCTGGAGCAGTGGGGCAGGAACCTCTTGGAAGCTGTCATCACACATCGCAGTTGGCGCAGCCAACATGCACCTGCTGCTGGCATGCAGGCTAAGCCTGGCTTCTGAGCCTGCAGGACAGGGGGCTATCAAGGCTGCTAACCCAGCTCTGTCCCCTGCAAAAGCTGGCCTCTCTCCTCAGCATCTATTCCCCAGATGTGGGCCATTTGCTACCAAGTGACAAAGAGTACAGGCAGCTCATACGTTGGTCAGCAGGAAAGCAAGTGACGATCATGTCCCACTAAAAAAGAAAAAGCAACATATTTCTGTTTAGCCTTTTCAGATTTTCCTGAGGAAGCCAGGGTTCCCTGTTAATTATTGAAACGGTTACGTTGTCTGAGTTCTCCATGCACTGTTTGGTTTTCGGATGGTTTGAAATGACGGTCATAATGCGTGCCCTGTTTACTGTTTTCTAGGATCAATAGATGACGTTTTTAACTGCAGTCTGTCACCCAGAACATCTCTGACAGAGCCTCTTTTGGCAGAATTACCATTTCCAAGTGTTCTGGAATCTGAAGAGACACCCAACCCGTTTATCTGATTGGGCTGAACATTCTAGCAGTTGCTTCTACACCCAGGCCTGTGCCAGACTGCAGGGTGGGGGGAGAGGGGCACAGGTGGGAGGTGGCCACTTCCACCCTCTTGCCCATCCCTGGGTCCTGCACAGCTTCTGCAGAGGGCCTCTTCCTTCCATTTCCACGGGTGTGATGCCCTGGAAGGCCGCATGCAGCTGACTCCCTTAAAGGTTATGGTTACCAGGATGGAAGGGCCTTGGCCTCATGACATTAGGAATGGGGGGATTTCTACTGCTTTGAAAACTTCCCCAAAGAGGCAGAAGGAGCCACAGAGACCTGCCACCTGAAACTTTATGCTCAGTATCTTGGGAGTTTTCTTGGCAGCCTTTGTGGGAGTCATCTGACTTGGATGTTAACCCGTGACACTTCATAAATCAGGTTTGGACCTCTGACTTGGGACATTCTTATTGGAACTCACACCCAGCAAGCATGGAGTTGGCAGTGCTTTTCTCTTGCAAATCTTGCTGAGCAAAAGCTTATGCCGTCTTTCTTTGGAAGGCAGGTGTGTTTTTCATCTGCCTTTATAAAACCTTAAGGTAAAAGTAAAACATTCAAGGTAAAGTTCACTGTAGGACTGGCCTGGTTGCTGGGATGGTAATTCTGCCATTCACTGCCTGAAATTTGAGTTCCCTTCGCCTCCTTCTTAATGAAGTGACCCATGTGGAATAGGGCCAGGTGATGTGGTGCCGAATAATGACAGGGGAAGGGTAATGGACAGGTAATGTCCTCTTTAGTGAAAGCATATATGTCAGTTGGGTATTTTAAACAAGCTTTTAGCAATTCTAACACTAAAAGAAAATAAGAAAAAGTTATCCCATTGCCATAATACATTGTTACATCAATACATTTTTCATCTCATTGCTACAATGGAATTCTTCTAAAGGGAAAAACCCATCCTATCTACATGTAAAAACCTGCAGGAACGAATCACTACCTATGCTTATAATAAGGAAGATTTATGGGCCCTGAGTATAATTTTTTTGTCCTTTTAAAAAGTGCATTACTGTGTTTCACATTTTGATAACATGACTGGTGATTCTTCCATTTATATTTGAAATCTAATGGTACTATGTTTGCACAATTAAAACTCTTCTTAGCATTCAACCTACAAATTCATTAAATTTATCACCAAGGGTGTGTGTGATCTTTCCATTGGTTTGTGGGTGGTATATTTGCTTTGTAACTTCCTGAATCACAGTAAGAATTGTGGTTTTCACAGTCACGTTCTCAAGAAGAGCCTTTTGAAGAACAAGGCTATCGAATGTTTTGAGAAAGGAAACAAACTGTGGTGTTGATCTTTCAGAAAAGGAGCATACTCTTTAATAGCAAAAGATGATAAACACATGTTATTAAACTCAGTACAAAATGAAGAATGTTAACAATAAAATAAGTTTCATACTAGTACAAACAAACCTTAGGTAGATATCAAATACTAAATACTTCCCAAAGGAAAAGAAACTCTGTTCACAAAAATGACAAAGAAGATTTTTTTTTTTAAGTAGCGGAATTGTAATAAGCCTAAGTATCACCCTAGGAATAGAGCAAAGGTCTGGAAGGTTTCTTTCATCATTAAACATTTTTTCAGTCCACTTTGAACCAAATGGATCCATGCATTCAATATTCACGCAACAAAATTTTATTAGCTGCCTATAAGGAAATTTTCACTCATGTATTTTATTATTTTATTAAATATCACAAGGAAATGACATTGTGCTATCTTTAAAATTGATGAAAATGTAGGAACAGACTCCTGGGTAAAAAAGGCCTCATTCTGGGTATAAATGTGACCTGATACAGATATTTTAACCATTTAAGATCAAAAGAATCTGTAGGACAACAATAACCTCAGCAACTCATCTATTCATACAGTTCATTTCCATTAATTCAACACATGTTTGGGTGCCTACCACATGCTCTGGACACATACCAGGGGAATGCTGGTGCACTGAGGTGCCTAAAGCATGGCCCTTGCTTTCAAGAAGCTTCTAGACTTGTAAAAAAAACGGAAAAATGTTCAGGGAAATAAGACCAATACAATAAGTTCTACGAGGAAATTCAATGAGGAAAACCCCTAAGATGCTTATGATCCAGTTTTGGAGATAAAAATCAATGATATAAAACTGTAAAATTTAGTTTTAAAACAAATATGTAAGGATTAATTTGTCTGTGTAGTTGACCTACCCAAGTTCTCGGTCACATAGGAAGCTATTTGTGAAAGCCTCACAAATAGTGAGTGAAAGCCCAGGAATAATAATTCTTCTTCCTTCTTCCTTCTTCTTCCTTCTTCTTTCTCCTTCTTCTTCTTCTCTGTGTACATTAATGTAGTCATGGGGTACAATATGCTGGTTTTATATACAATTTGAAATATTTTCTGGTTTGGGGATTTTTGTGATGTGGGCTAATCTTACTGGAGTTAGATGATATCTCAAAGTAGTTTTGATTTGCATTTCTCTGATGATTAAGGATGATGACATTTTTTCATATGTCTGTAGGCTGTGCATCTGTCTTCTTCAGAGAAGTTTCTATTCAAGTCCCTTGCCCAACCTGAGATGGGATCACTTGTTCTTTTCTTGCTAATATGTTCAAGTTCTCTGTGGATTCTGGTCATTAAACCTTTGCTGGGACATAACGTGAAAATATCTTCTCCCATTCTGAGGGCTGTCTGCTTGCCTTACTGTGTTCTTGGCTGTGCAGAAGCTTTTTAGTTTGATCAGGTCCCAGTAATGTATTTTTGGTGTTGCTTCAATTGCCTGGGGGGGGGTCCTCCTCATAAAATTTTCACCCAGGTCAATTTCAAGTGTTTTCCCTATACTTTCTTCTAGTATTTTTATGGCTTAATGTCTTAAGTTTAAATATTTACTACAGTAAGAGTCTATCTTAGTTAATGGTGAAAAGTGTGGGTCCAGTTTCAGTCTTCTACAGCTCACCAGCCAGTTCGCCCAGCACCATTTGTTACATAGAGAATCTTTTCCCCACTGAATGTTTTTAATTGGCTTGTCAAAGATCAAATAATGGTAAGTAGCTGGGTTCATCTCTTGGTTCTGTATTCTGTTCCATACATCTACCTCTCTATTTTTGTGCCAGTACCATGCTGTTTTGCTCACTATCGATTTATAGTATAATCTGAGGTCTGGTAGCATGATTCCTCCTGCTTTATTTTTATTTCTGAGTAATGTCTTGCCTATTTGAGGTATTTTCTGATTCCATATAAAATGAAGTATTATTTTTTCAATATCTTTAAAGTATGACAGTGGGCTTTAATAGGGATTGCATTAAAATTGTATATTGCTTTGGGTATTATAGATATTTTCACAATGTTGATTCTTCCCAACCATGAGTATGGTATGTTTTTTCATTTGTTAACATCTTCAGCTATTTCTTTTCTTAGAGTTTCATAGTTCTCTTTATAGAGATCTTTCATGTCCTTTGTTAGGTAAACTCCCAAATATTTCATCTTCTTCAGCACTACTATGAATGGAACAGAGTCCTTGACTGTTTTTTCAGCATGACTATTGTTGGTATATATAAAGGCTACAGATTTATGAGTGTTGATTTTGTAACCTGAGGCACCGCTGTATTCCTTGATCACTTCTAAGAGTTTTGTAGTAGAATCCCTGGTGTTCTCCAGATGTACAATCATAACATTTGCGAAGAGTGAGAGTTTGAGCTCTTCTGATCTTATGTGGATACCCTTGATCTCATTTTCTTACCTTATTGCATTGGCTAAGACTTCCATTACTGTGTTAAAAAGCAGTGGAGACAATGGGCAACCTTGCATGTTTGTCCCTTCTATACCCATTTTCTTCAGTGTTCTGATCATGAAAGGATGTTGAATATTATCAAAAGCTTTTTTTGCATCAATTGAGAGAATCATAAGGTGTTGCCGTAAGGAAGTTACTATTAGGGTCTCATGGAAAAATGATGTTGCTAAGAATAAGCACGCTTGTTGAAATTGTGTTTTAAATAAAGGTGACCATCTGCTTGCTTAGGCAAAATGGCAAGTTTTCTTTATTTCTGGTTGGTTTATATAGGGAATCTTGTGCATGTGCACTATACAGCAATGACCTATTAATATTCATTACAATCCCTCTGCGCATGCGCTTTGGACATCAATGACTTCATTAATCCATTTAAAAATCTTGTGACTACCCACCTTGTAAGTAGCTCCTTTCTAGTAATCTGATAATCCATCCAACATACACCTTTAAGCATAATCCTTTCAACATAACCTGGTTTAACATAACTTAATGGAGAACATGTTGTTAGCCATTACTTCTTTTGTTCTTATTTGACGAAGCTGAGGCTATGGAGGAAAGAGATGGTTTGAAAGTCTGTTCTACTGACCTTGCTATTTGGAGGCAGTTACTTCAATCTTTAAAATGAGCCATAATTGGCTCAGCGCCTATAGCTCA